ATCAACTATATACTACTGAAAGACCTGAAAAAAGAAATAAACTAAACTAGAAAGAACAATAAGACTTAGACTTGCTTAAGGCCAAAACTAACTAGAAATATTAATTGATATAACTATGAATAAAGCAAACCAACTTAACTAAACTTCAAAACAAGCTCAAATATAAGTGAGATCTATTAGTAGTTGATTTAATCCTATTCTATAATATTACAGAGGCTTCTTAAATCAATAAGCTAAAGTAATCTATAATCAAATACTCCAAATATTGAAACAAAAAAGGAATCTTGCATAGATGTTGCGAAGACTACTTGTTTTTTAAGAAGAAGAAACTAACTTTATAGACTCAAAACTATATAACAAGACTACTTAGCAAAATGTTATATAAAAATAAAAGAAAATCTAGTACTAGTAGTTTTAGATTTGGGAGCTGTAGTCAGTATCATGACAAAGAAACTATTAGATAAACTTAATCTAATCATCAACAAACTGTTAACTACTATTGTTATTACTGTAAATAGTAACTAGAAAAGGTTTTTGAGTTAACTAATTGATCAAAAATTAGTAGTAGAAGGGATTATAGTCCTAACTAACCTGCAAATAATAAAGTCCTTAGAAGAGACTCTATTTCTAGAGATAAATTAGTTTAAGAAAGTATGAGCTTAAATCTATTTCAATAAAGAAAAACTCTTTATAAAATATCTTAGAAAACAGTTTGAGGTTCTCATCTACTAGTCACAAAGCTATAAATTAAAAGTTTTACCTAAACTTAATAGTAATAATAATAAGTATGATAGTGGTTATTTTAATAAATATGATGAAGAAGTGCTAGAAGAGTTAGAAGGATTTATTGCTAAAGAAGTAATATCCAAAGAAATAGAATTATATATAAATCTCTAAAAGATACTTACAGTCCTACTATTTATTTAACTACAATTGAAGAAATCTCTATTCCTAAAGATGATACAAAACTAGAAGTAACTGTAGAAAAGAAAATAAAAAAGTTAGTACAAGTAGAAACATTAAATAAAAAACTAAAGAAAGAAGCAACCCTTATACTAGAAAGATTTAACAAATTATTTGCATCTGAATTAAGTTAATTAGACTAAACTACAGAAGTTCAATATAAAATAAACACTAGAGAAGCAAAGCCAATTAAGCAAAATACTTATAGGATATTACTGAATAAACAAGAATTTCTAAAAGAAAAAATTAGAAAAATATTAGAGAATAATTTGATTGAAGAAATAAAAAGTTTGTAGACCTTACCTGTAGTTATTATACTCAAGAAAAATAGTAAACTATGTCTCTATATCAACTATTAGAAGCTTAACTCTGTTATAAAAAAGGATTTCTATTCATTACTTTGAATTGATAATCTATTAGAAACCTTTAGAAAAGCTAACTAGTTTTCAAATTTAGATCTAGCTAGTGGCTATTAGCAAATACTTATAAAGAAGAAGGACTAAGAAAAGACTGTATTCATAACTAAACAAGAGGTCTATACTTTTAAGGTAATGCTTTTTGGTTTATATAATGCTTTAGTTATATTTCAGAGAACCATGAACTATATTCTATATAATTATATCTGCAAATTTGTTACTATATACTTAGATGATATTATCATCTATTTCCAAACTTACTCAGAATATCTAGATTATCTACAATTAGTTTTTGATAAAATTATGATAGTTGAACTAAAATTAAATTCAAAGAAGTATAATTTATTTAAAAACCAAATATAATTTCTCAATCATGTTGTAAATAATAATAGGATTAGATCTGATCAAGAAAAAATAAGAAAAGTTCAAGAATTTCCTACTTCTAATAATCTTAAACAACTTTGTGGGTTTATAGGACTTTTATCTTATTACTAAAAATTTATAAAAAGCTTTACTATAGTAGTCAAACCTCTGCACAAATTATTAGAAAAAGAAGAAAAATATAACTAGGATCTAAACAGCAGCAAGCATTCAAAATATTAAAGAAATATCTAGCTACTGCACTGATTCTAAAATACTTAGACTTCAATAAGAAATTTATATTATATACTAGTACCTCCAAAGTAGGTTTTAGTACTGAATTAGCACAGAAAGGAGATAACAAATTGGAACATGTTATTGCATATACTAGCAGAAGTCTGACTCAGCTAGAAAGAAATTATTCAGCTACAGAATTGGAATATTACATAGTAGTTTGAGTTATAGAAAATTTCTATTACTACTTTAGATATAGGTCTTTTGTAGTAGTAATAGATTATATTACTCTTAAGTAGTTACAAACTATAGTACTGAAAAGATACAGAGCTTACTGAATATTTTATCTACAGCCTTATCAGTTCACTATAATATATAGAGCTAAATTAAAATACAAAAATACTAATATTCTTTTAAGAATAAACAAAAGTAAAAAAAAAGAAAAAGGATACAATTGCCTCTGAAAATATCAAAGCTTATGAGTTATATATGATAGTACAAGAATTAGAGAACAAACCTAAAATAAGCATAGAAGAGTCTATAGAAATAAGTGATAATAATATGAAGTAGACTCCTAATATACCTAATGAAAAAAGCTCTGAGTTACTTAAGCACAAAGTGACTAACAAATTTGAAACTTGGAACTATCTGAAAAAAGCGAAAGAAGAAATTAGCTTCTATTATGATAATATCAAGTACTATAAAAAGCTCATAAGAAATTTAGTAATATAGTTCAGAAAAAAAGTTACTGAGACACTACAAGATAATCTAGAAGAAGAAAAAGAAGAAGAATTATTAAATAGTGAAAAAACAACTCAAGAAGTTCAAATTATTGAAGCTACTGAAGAAGTATTCATGTAGCTATCTACTAGTCTAATTGTCTTAGCAACAAGACTCTTAGTTTGATTTCTAGAAATAATCAAGGATCTCTCTATAGAAATCAAAAATATTACAATTCTCTTATATATAGAAGTAATAGATTTTACTTTATATATTCTCTTATTTAAAAATAACTAGTCTCAAAAAGTTAATGCTATATACAACTAGAAAAACAAAACCTATACTCTCAAGTAGAATAACAGAAAAATTTATATATCTACAACTTATAAACAAAACTAATCTCTCCTTAAACAACTAACTATAACTAAAATTGCTGGCTGTAAGTAATAATTACGAAAATTACAGATTATAACCTAGGTTGCAATCCTTGATTACAACTAAAACTTAAAGTTGTAAAATGTTGAAATAGTTATAATAGCTATAAAAGGTATAATCACTATAAAAAGTGTAATTGTCATAAAGGGTGTAATTGCTGTAAAGGGTGTAATTACTGTAATAGTGATATATTGTATCATAATACAGTTTTAGATTTGTAATAATCTGGTAGTATAGTCTAAACTGCATGATAATTAATGAAGTCAATTTCTTTATATAGAAAACAATAATGCTAAGAAACAAGAATAAGTTGTTCAAAGAATAGTTTAAATTCAATTGATGCTTTTATTTCTATAATAATACAAATTTGTAATAATTCAGTAGTATATATAGTCTAAACTGTATGATAATTTAATGAAGTCAATTTCTTTATATATAAAAATAATAATGTTAAATAAACAAGAATAAGTTGTTAAAAATTTGATTAGTGTTTTTATTTCTATAATAATATAAAAAATTGGTCTTTTTTATCTATATATCGCACAATTAGTAATTATCATTACTAGTTTGTTTAGTGTGATCTGATATCAGGAATTTTGAAACCTGAATATAATCGATTAAAATCTGATTATTTTAATCGATTACTCGATTTACTTAGTAACACAAAAAAAAGGATAAGTGCATAATGATAGAAGTTTAGATTTAGGGCATTAGTAGAAGTGATTATGAAAATAGAATAGCACTTATTATATGCAAAATTTTATTTCTGTTATTTTTAATTAGTGAACTAAGGTCAGTTTAGATTATCAATTATAATTGATTTGATATAATTAATCAATTATAGTTAATTTTATATATCTTGATTATAATCGATTTTGATTTATGATAAATCATACCCCTGATAGCGATCATAATTAATTAAATAATTGCAACTGATTATAATCAGGTTTCAAATTTTCTTAATAGATTTATTTGAATAATCGTATTTCTTAGTTATAAAAAAAAAAAAAGAAGGCTTGATCCTTTAAAAGATTTATTGTATAAATTCAGTTAGTGTTTTTATTTTATACACATATACTAGTCAAATACAAGTGCGATATTATTCATATGGACTTACTGGTTTGAGGAATCAATTTCCTTAAAGTGTTACAAAAGCAAAAACCTTTAAAAAAATAAGGTTTTTTTGTCATACTGAAAAAAAAATTTAAAATCACATATGTACTTACTATTTTGGCTATCAGAATTTTGCATGTTATAATTAATATGTGTATAATTAATTGTAATAAGTTTTTAGTAAACCTGCTAAATATTTGTATTAGAAAATCTTCTATGTATCAGATTCTCAAGCATTCTTAAAGATATAAATTTATAAACAATTTGGAGGTATATCAATCCTGTTAAAGTTAATAACTTATCAAATCTGTCAAATAATTCAGCTAATTTCTATCAGGTGTTCTAGCAAAATTTCGAAACCCATTCATATAAACAGATGTGATTGCACAATAATTAAGTAAAATCAAATATTTTTGCTTAGTAATAATACCTTTTATTAATATTTGAATCTAGCTTAAAAAATATTATGCAAGAGACATTATAGTGTCCAGTTCACATATTTCAATAACGTAAATTGTTATTGTACATTATACTTCTAATTAGTTATTATATATAACAGAAATAATTGATGTCCAAATTTATATATTCAAAAGTAAACATTGTAATTGTGTAGTATAAAACAAGTATTTAAGCCTTGGTTATATAAGAAGTTTACATTAGCATTAATGTTAATAATAAAAAAATTTTTTGCAATTATAAGTTAGAATTTTTTTATAAATTTATTTAATGTTGTCTTATAAAAAATCAATATTTTCTAAAATGACTAAAAGAAAACAAAATAATAACTCAACTTCAAGTAATACAGAAACAGACTCCAGAAATTTAAGTAAACCAAAATCAGGGCATCCATTAACAGGAGTTTGGAAATGTTTTGAAAAAGATGCACCTAAAGGCGATAGTCATTGGGAGAGAACCTGTATGTACTATGAAAAATTTTATTCACGTGCCAAGCCAACTACTTTGCAAGCATATCTTGCTAATAGCTGTAAAAATATTCTTGAGGAATGAAAACGTCATTTTAATTATATTTTAGTTAACAATTTGCAAGATATTCTAACTAATATACCTCTTTATAGCATGCAAAATACTACTTCATTTTTAGTTAAACAAAAAAAAGCAAAATTAACTAATTGGTTTAATTCTGTCAGAATTGAGCTATCTAAATAATCAATAATTGATGAAGCTATTGCATTAGTCTTTATTATATGTGTTATTCCTTTTTGTGTAATTAATAATCCTTTTTTTGTAAATGCTCTAAAACTTCTTAATACCAGTTATGAAGTTTCATCATGTGAAATTTTTTCTGGATGTCTATTAGATATTGAAGTTGCAAAAGTTATTAACAAAATTAATAAAATTTTAGACCATACTACTAATCTTACTATTAGTCTTAATAGTTAGACTACTTCTAACAAATTATCAATTTGGAATTTTGTTATCATGATACTATTACGGCAAGAATTTCTTTATGAACTTGAAAATTACTCAGAACAATCACATACAGCAGAATTTCTAGCTAGTAAAATTGAATCAATTATTGATCGTATTGGTAATAATAAAATTTCAGCAATTATTAGTAATAATGGAGCCAATGTAGCATCTGTACAATGCATAATTTGCTTAAAATATAAACATATTATGAATATCTGATACATTGCTCATTGTTTTAATCTAATTAGTAAAGATTTTACTCAGCATATATTTTTAGAAAGAATGATTTAGCATGCTAATAAATTAACAAGTTTTTTTAAAAGATTTCATAAAGCTGCAGCAATTTTAAAACAAAAAATTTCAGTACACCAAATTAGTGGAGGTAGTCTTAAAACCTATATCAAAACAAGATAGACAACAGTATATAAATGCATTTCATCAATTGTATGGCTCAAGGTTTGTTTAGAGGATATTCAAGAAAATCATTCTGAAATTCTTAATCCTGTTATTTTGATGATTCTCTATAATTAAGGCTTTTTTAGTGATATACAATATCTTTTAAAGATTTTACTTCCAATTAAGAATACAATTTTGTCAGTTGAAGCAAATCGTTCTACACTTGCTGACTGTTATATTAATTTAATGAGAATTGCTGCAGCAATACAAAATCTTCCTACTAATGAATATAGAGAATTTCACAATTATTGTATTAGAAAGTTTAATCAATGGTTTGAAGAATTTAATGATCCTGCTTATCAACTTACATATTTTCTTTACTCAGCATACAAAAATATTAGATTAAAATTTGGTACATTTCCTTTAATTGCAAATTATGCTGGAAAGTTATGGCAACAAATGGGCAAATTTCAAGAAAGTTGCAAAGCTTTAATTACACAACTGCATTTTTATAAAGAGCAAGAACAAAGTTTAAATAGAAATCCAAATTCTTATATTGCTCCTTATACAATTGGTAGTGATATGCTATTGATGTAGTAGAATACTTGTGAAGCTAAACTTAACTATTTGTAATGCTTAGCTGTTAAACTTTTTCTATTATACCAAGTTCTGCTAATTGTGAAAGAATTTTTTCATCATTAGGCTAGATTTGTAGAAATCATCGAACATGATTAGATATAGATCGATTAGAAAGGTTGGCAAAAGTTTATCAGTTCAATTTATCAAATCATTTAGATCAATTTCATCATACTAAAATTATAGAAGTAACTCTCGAAATAATATCTGATATTGCAGAAACAGTTTTTAAAGAATTTGAAGAAGAAAGATTAGTAGAAGAAGAAGACATAGAATTGTCTAATCCTACTGAAGATCTTTATTCTAATGAACTAGAGTTAAATTTAAATGTTTCAAATTTTATTGATCTTTGTTCTTCAGTTTTTACAAACTCTAAAGATCATTATGAAAATGAGGTATTAAATAAAATTGAGTCAGATGATAATTTACAAGAAAATGAATATGACATAGATAAAATTGTTTCTAGACAGTTCAATGATTCATATTAGATATAGGTATTATAAAGTATTAATATATATTTTTTTTATGGTTTATATAGTATATTTTAGTGTTAGAGTATAGCAAAATTAGGTCATATGTTACTGTGTCAGTAGCATCTTTAGTAAAAATATAAAGGATACTGATACTTGTGATGGATAATAATTTTGGACATTTAAATTGAATTTATATATTTCTCCATAGTTTATACATAGTGTAATTTGGACATTTAAATTGGATTTATATATTCATATTATATTTTTATATCTCTTTTTAGGAATACCTGAGTATATAAAGCTTTAAAAAGTGATAAAAAAACAAAATGAAAATATATCTTAGGTACAAATATATATTTTAGCACTTTATAGTTAATGTAAACATTTCATCAAAGTTTTGAATATATTTTGCTCACTAGTATATTCTACAAATAATTTCTATATACTTAATTTTCTATTTTTGAATATAACAATTGTTGAACTTTTAAAAAATACATTTATTATAAATTTCGAAGTTTAAATACTCATAAATATCATAAAGTCTATCTTATATGTAATTTAATAAAGCACAGTATAAATACATATTTCAAATTCCTTATTCAAAGTTGTTAAAGTCAATCTCATAACAGAAGATCTAAATGTCAATTAAAATTTATTCTATATAAAGTCTTAGTTCCTTTGATTGAGCTACTTAATTCCAAGATATTATATACATTGTGAAGATTAAACTTACTGATATAGCACAATCCAAAATTGAGCTATACTTAATTTCTTTTCTAACTTGAGCGATCTTGCCCTTCATTTATTAAAGGAAATATCATTCGATATATATAAAATATATATCATAAGATACAAATAGAATACAAATTATATAAGTCCTAAAACTAATCTATAATTATATCCCT